CACCCCATCCCTACCCCATTCCCGGTTCTGCACTCTATTTTATTTCCAGACATAGGACAATACATGAGAGAAATGTTTCCCTGAGAGCTGGGTCAAGAGAACAGATGTTCTGAGTATGGTTTGTATGTGTCAACAACTGGATGTAGTGCGCAAGATAAGTTCCATATACTTTTAATAATTCATAATTAGGTCAGCAGAATTGGAAATGAGACTAGTGTTATTGAGGCCATGAAGCTCGGAGCAGAGAGCTCACAGACTGAAAAAAAAATGTTCATGAAACATTAATATATGAAGAAAACATGTTTTTAGTGGTTACTAATGGTTTAATGTTCAGTTAATAATCATTTTTATTGGGATCTCACCAAGGCCAGCTGGCCTAGGTCTGAAAAAACATGGGATAAATCCGGACTAGCTGAACATAGCGGACAATGAGGAATACTGAGAATTCAAGAACAATTGCAGTGGGTTTTTGATCCTACTGCACGTACTGGCTTTGTGGGAGCCTAGGCAGTTTGGATGCTCACCTTACGAGACCTGGATAGAGGTGGGCAGTCCTTGGGCTTCCCACAGGTCAGGGAACCCTGATTGCTCTTCGAGCAGATGAGGGAGGGGGAATTGATCGGGGGAGGGGGAGGGAAATGGGAAGCGGTTGTGGGGACGAGGCAGAAATCCTTAATAAATAAATAAATAAATAAAAAATAAAAAAAAAAAATAATCATTTTTAACTTGTTAATCAAATGGCATTTTTAAAAAGGCAACATGTCCCTAAATAATTGCATATTCACACAGGTAATAAAAATCTTATCTTCAAACATTGAACATTTATTAAAATCTAATAAAAAACCTTTCAGAATGTAATTATTATAAAATCATAACTCATTAATTTTCTAAGTCTCACAAAATAAATGTAAAATAAAAAAATATTTTAAAGTCCACGAAACTAATTAAAGTTGTTAGGTTGAAGGATTACGGTCAAGATTAAACATTTCTCTTCATTCGTAGTCTTCACGTTCCCAGAGTCACATCTTTTTATGTTAACATTTGCTTAGGTTTTTAGCAACCTTACTAAATCTAAAGGAACATGAACCTCACTTTGGATTAACAGACTTCCCTGGTTCCTGGGTATAAATGACAGATCTTCAGACTGTGCCAGGAGTTCCAGGACAGCTAGGGCTGTTACACAAAGAAATCTTATCTAAAAATAAATAAATAAATAAATAAATAAATAAAATGAAATAAATGTTTTATTAATTCTTTGAGAATTTCATACAATATGTTTTCACTATATTCCTTCCCAGCTCCTCCTCTAACTCCTCCTCCTCAACTTTGGTTTCTCCTTTTTAATAATTTAATAACTTATCATTTCTGGCTTATGCTATCCACTGAAGCACGGTCAATTTACCAAGTGCCAAAGCTTTAAAGAAAGTTGACTTCCTCTACCTCAGAAGCCACCGTCTCTTGTGTATCTCCTCAGTTAGGTGTTAGGGCTGATATTGCGCCTTGTGCACTGTGCCATACTGTTGACTGGCTTGATCTAGTACTTGTCTCATGCAGGTAACTCAGCTGCTGTGACTTCATGAGTGTAGTGGTACTGTTGTGGGCAAAAGATGCTGTTTGACCCTGGCCCTCCCTGACCTCTGACTCTTACCCATTCTCCACCCCTTTTTCCTAGGCGGTCCTTGAGCCTTGGGGAGGAGGTGTGATATAGTTGTCCCTCTTGGGGATGAGCTCTCCACAGCCGTCTGTTATCTACACTTTCATGAATTGTGAGCTTCTGCAGTAACCACCATAAGTTGCACGGGTCTGAGGAGGACTGACAGCTGCTTCTTTACAACACCTTATTCTTAAAACAGTAGAGATGACAGCAAGAGGGGAGATTGTTGGAGGAGAAAGACATGGAGAGACAGACAGACAGAGACACAGAGACAGACAGACAGAACCAGAAATGAAGAGACACAAAGATAGAGACAGAGAGGCAGAGACAACATGCAAGAAACTATTTGACCAAGCCCTGAGGACATTTTACGTGAGATCCGTAAAAGTTTGTTTGCTAACACTGCCCTGGCCATGTCTTAGGATGCCAAAAATCATTTCTGGTATAAATTTAGAATATTAAAAAATCAATAGACTTGAGCTGGGCTTGTTTTCTTGTGCCTGCAATATCGGTCCTTGGAAGATGGAGGAAAGAGGATCATAAATTTGAGGCCAACCTAGGTTTTTATAGAGCAAGACCTTCTCTCAGTTTAAAAATAAAAGACATTTTGCTCCTGAAGATGATAGTCACAGAGCAAAAGAGAGCTCTTGGTCTTCGGTGTTGTAATTACACAGCCTGTGACCTCTGGAGACCACCACACACCCTGGACTCACTGTTCTAATGAGTGGAAATGAAAACGTGCTTGTATTTAGAGCCAAGAAGACTGAAATTTGAACCAAGCGGTAGAGTGAGCTGAGAATTTGCTGGAAATACAAACCCTTGATTGGAATCATTTCTGGAAAGCTCTGACCAGAATAAACACAAACACTCCTGTAGGGCAATGGACCAAAGATTACTTTGGCAAATGCAGTACACAGTCTACACCACCTCCTTTGTGTCCTCTCATTCACGGATATTGTGATTGAAAAGGACAGAAATTCAAGCCCAGTCAAAGCAGGAAGAAGAAGGAATTTATTTGTCCACTTAGAACCCTAAGTTTTGAAGTAGGATTGGTTCTCGAATCAGCTGGATTATATTATCAAAGATCCTCTCTCCGCCATCTGCCCTGATGTCCTTGGGAACTTCCTTCTCTTCTGGGCTTTCTGCTTCTGCTGGGACCTTTGCCTTTGGAAGTTTCAGGCTCATCTGATGCCACAGTATGCGAGTCCAGCGGTGACAACAGACCCTGTCCTACACTCCCAATATTAATGGCTGAAAAGAACCCTGACTGTCCTACTCAAGACAAGTCCCACTAGGTGATTATCCTGTGTGTATGCTAGGGATGTAAGTGTGGGATGTTCCCTCTGAGAAGATGACAAACAGGGATAGGGAAACGGAGGGAACACGTGAGCTAGACTTTGGGGGTGCCATGCAGGAGTCCTGGGCTTCCTTCTAAGACACAGGATGTGCATGAAAGAAGGGCAAATGTCTAAACCAATCAAATAGAGTCAATTTCAGGATTATCAGCCTCGGGTACAATATGATTTCAGATGCCGGACAGAAGGCATGTTTGCACCAAATACGTATTTTCATGTTTTCAGTTGTACAATAATAATGGCAGGACATGCTCAATGAGTGCCTGAGGCTCCCTCACAGGGCTCCTTTGTAGCTGTAGCTCCTGGAAACCCAAGATGACTAAGCAGGATTTCATCACACAGACTAACACCAAATAGCAAGGACGACGTCAATGTGCAAAGTCAGATTTATTGAAGTAATATGGCAATATGTTCTTAACATAATCATGTTATGTGAAAATTGCAATGTTTCTCAAAGCATTTCTCACTTGCATAAGCATAGCTGTGCTTGGGTATGAAGGCAATCCCAAAGCAAAACAAAATCAAAACCAAACTCTAGGTTATCTGACAACATCCATGTGCCAACCATTGCTTTTCGTGCTATGAGGCTCTAGATGACCGAGTTCACAGCCTAAATGCTGCCACCACGCTGCAAGCGCCTGAGCCCCACTGATGGTGTCCTTCCCAAGTCATCGCCCTTCCCCAGGTACAAAAGCACAAAAAAGGTACTAAGACACGAAGAGAAATAAAAATTGAATAGTTCAAAAATAGGAGTAAAAAAAAAAAACAATGTTTTCTGATCACACACAACAGCAGGGCCAGTGCTCCAGATGCTGCTTTACACATTACTGTGGCCATTCATCATGGACAGTAATTTTGGGAGTTAGATTCTGGAGCATCTTTCATGAAGATCACAGGTGTTTTCTCATGCATGTCTCCTCACTAGTAGATAACTTAAGTTCAAGGAGCTGCAGAAAGATTTAAACCAGAGGAAGCTGGCCAGTTTCTGAGCCTTAGGACACCTGATCTTTGCTCAGGAGAGGCAGTAGAGTTTACAGGGGTTTGATTTTCATTATAATCCCTGAAACAATTTAAGCTTCCCTTGTGTGCCTTTAGCTTCAAACCAAGTTTCCTCCGTGGACTTCAATTGTCTTCAATCAAGCTGTCATTCTAATAGAAAGAGACCCCTTTGCCTGAATGGCTGAGTTATCAGTGTGGCCTATGTTCTTCTTCTGTCTTTGTTGCTGATAAAGTCATGCTTCATTTAGACAACACAGGTAAATTCTAAGGCAATATTAAAAACAAAACCAGAAAGGGTAGTCTTACTAAGATTAAGTGTTAAGTGAAGAGAGATTGTATTATGGAGATTTCCTTCAATATTTATATGCTATTGTTGAAAATCTTAATCTAGAGATTAATTCAGAGCCACGAGAGGCTATTTTGAAAGCATTGGTCACTAAGTAAAAATATCTCATAAGAAATAAAACTATGAAAATATATTCATGTAAAATAGAAATGTACAGAAACATAGTCATTCACATAAAATACTAAATCAGTGTATCTGTGGTAAAGCAAAAAATTATTGAAGCAGGATTGTCTGTTTATAATGCATTAAAAATTATTACTATATTTTATTAAATGCCTGTTATTTCTTGATTCTTATTTTGCGGTTTTAACAGAAAAAGAAAGATTATTGTTAGGATTGCTATATTCAGAAATAAACTTCTGTGTTTTATAGAAAATCTTTATCTTACTATCCTATTTTATTGAGGCAGGGTCTCACTATGTAGCCCTGCTTAGCCTGTAACTCTCTAAGGACACCAGGTTGGCCCCATAGTCAGAAATCTGCCTATCTCTGCCTCTCCTATGCTGGAATTAAAGACACAAGCTATCACGGCTCTCTAATTTCTTTCTCTTCTTTAAATTCTAATCTTTGAATCAGTTCAAATTTACCTTGTAACTAAAACAGAAAAGAAAGTATTGACAAAGAAACCCTTGAAAGGTGTGTGTGGGCATTGCGCTAAGAAAACAGAAACAGAAGTCAGCAAGCTGTTGCAGGCACAAGCCATCCCATCTTCAATATGTGTTTGGTTTCGGCACTGCACAGCGCCTCAGACCAGCTCATGGAATCTGCACACATCTTTGCTCACTTCTCGGGCTTTTTCTGCCTAACATGGGCCGATATATTTCCGCCACTATGCAGTAACCGGAGCGAGGAGTCAGACCTTCAATTTGAACAGTTCTCTGAGTTCCTTCATAGGCCTTTTGCTCCTACACAGGAGAGAAATGAGAGAGTGAATAATTTCCAGTGAGGTACCGATTTGCTTCTTCTTTGTTAAAATCAGTGATGTGTCTGTGATCGCTGGAGATCTTCAGGTAAAGCCTCCTTCCCCAAAGCCCTGGGCCATGACTGGAGAAAGCCGCTTGTTAAGCGGTCAAGCCGCATGACTTCTCCTTGAAGGCTAAGGATGGTTGGAGCCGTGGCCAGAGTCTCATTTTCAAGTGTATGAGTTCTGAGTCAGGAAATGGCCTGGACTTGCAGGGGTTCCTGTGCAGGCAAACTTGGTCAAAGAGAGGGAGGGAGTGCAGGGGGAGGGAAGGAGAGAGAGAGAGAGAGAGAGAGAGAGAGAGAGAGAGAGGGAATCTGCAGACTCAGCTCCCATTTTACTTCTCTGATTCTTAGAAAGTCTGGCAGCACCTGTTTCCTGTTTCTGACTGTCATGGATGGCTTCTTGTGTCCTCCTGAACTAGCCTTCTTCTTCTGTAGGTGAATCAGTTTCAGTGTGTTTTTTTCCCCTTCCAACTAAATAAGCCCTGACTTAGAGGGATACAAAAAAGGGCATCTGTTCACCATAGAACCTAGATAAAGGTGCTGATGGTGGGCGTTCCAATACAAACTACTACAGCAAGGCTGCTAAGCAAGGGTGGGAGTGGGGAGTGGCAGGAGAAGAGGGAGGGAAAACTGTGACCGGGATGGAAAATCAATCAATCAATCAATACCCCCAAAGAGACTACCAAACGAAACTACAATTCAAAGGCTACTGAAATAAAGAGGGAGTAGAAAGCTAACAAAATAACATTAGCATCAGAAAAATGAATGAAATATTTATATTAACTTTTCGCTATGCAAGGAAGTCTAAGGAGGGAAGCTGATTATCTGAAAGGTTGTATGCACTGCACACAGGAAGGCATGCACATAGAAACTCTGATGCTGATAGAGGCACTCACTCAGCTTCTCAGGGAAGATGAAAGAATAAAAAGACAGGGAAAGATCCGGAGACATAACATCAAAGAGACAGGTTGTGGGATAGAATCTTAATGCTCATTAAGCAAACGAAAGACCCAGACATCCAGTCATCTGAACTCACCTTTTCTAACAAATTGTCAAATAAGAAAACTCGGTATACCAAGTTATAGTAATTTTCTGTAGATGTATTGTTTCCCTTTCGGTTTCTGTACGGCAGCTCTGGGGCACGGAGAAGCACCAGCAAAGATCCGTTAACTGGGACCATAGTCACGGCGGGAGGGTCCAGCTTTGCTGCAGAAAAAAATCCGCGGTGTTGATAAAGCATTCTAAACATTGAACTGCTACAAATTGGCACTATGCATCACGCCAAATCACTGCTGTGTTCTGAAGTGTGTCAAAAATCATTACGAAGATAGTTTTACTTCCATTTGTAAAAGACTGAATTTCAGTCTCTTTCAATATTGAGAGAATGTCTGCCAATCATTTTGTCAACACTATGATTTCGTCAGAAAACTTAAGTATAAAAGTTATGTAGAGGGAGGGCTTAGAACAAGAAAGATATGTTTATACTTTTTCTCCTAGAATTTTGATTCTGTATCTGCTAAATTTTCTTGTTCTGTTTGCCATGCATCTTAGCGTCTTTTATTTTTTTTATTTTTTCTTCAAAATAGCTTATTTGACTGTTTTTTTTTTTCAGACCTGTTTCTAGTCTGTGAGTTTCTTCTTCAGCTGTAGCTGACCTGAGCTTGAATCCACAATTTTTGTCTCAGAGATTTTTATATTTTGTAAGTTGACTGTATTATCATTTTTTTTTTCTTTTCAAACTTCTAAGTGTTTGGAAGAGCTAAGTTTTTAATACACACCCTCCCACCCTGGCTTCTTAATTTGGGACCAAGAGTAAACTGAGTTTTCAGCCATCTAGAATTTTTATCTGACTGCTTGCAGAGAAAGGAATTTTCCTGGGTTTACATTTCACCCATCCAAGAGCCACAGGATTCAATCTTGCTTGTGCAGTTCATGCTCCGAATCCTCCTGAGCAGAGAGCCCTCACCATCACATGCAGATGTGGAGAACGGTCCTGTTTAGTTTCGGGGGACATTATTATAAGTGGCTCACTTTTCCTAGACAAGAATTTAACAGTATTATCACATTTGGCATCTCCAAACACCCTTTCTCTAGTGTGGCTCTGTATTTACAAAATGCTATTGTGCATTTTTTCTTCCCTGGAACATTTATACAGTGTTTGTCCCTTGAGGCCCAAGCAATGTTTACAGAAATAGCCTCATAATCCGGAGCAGCCAGGGCCTAGTTTTTTTTTTTTTAATATCTCAATTCACCATCTTAGATTCTTATTGTTTAATTCTATTGCTAATTTTAAAGACCAGTGTTCTTAACCTTTTGTGGAAGGGGGTACAGACTTAGAAATTTCTGCTGACTTGATTAAGGTTCTCTGGCAGCTCTCCTGTTTTTGTTGTGCAGGGATAGAAAACAGGTACTTCTATGTTCTACATAAGCTAGGTCCCCAGCCCTGACACTCCTGTCCTGGAAACATTGTCTCCCTGTGGTGCTTGTGAACACACCCAATTGTTAATCTCCCTGTCTCATTGGGTATTTGTTACAAATCTAAAATTCTTCCTGCTGGGTCATCTTTTGGTGAAATACCCTAATGTCTAGTCTCACAAAACAGTGTCTGTCTTTCAATAAACTTTTCCTATCCAAATTTATCGATGTCCGTTACAGGATATGAAAATGACTCACAGATTTGTGTCTTTCACAGAAGTCATCCTTAGCTTTGAGGACTGGATCTGTATAGACATTGTGTGGGGGTGGGTCCAGGCATCTTAAATTCAATGTGGTAAAAACTAAACTCATATTCGTGATTACCCAATATGCCACAAAGCTGCTCTTTTCTCATGAAATTGCATCCCAAAATAATCTCTGGTCTGTGTAGCTGTACCAGAGATAGACACAGAGGCCATCTTTGATGCGTTCTCCCTCCCCAGTATATCCAACTGCTCACCCTGTCCATCCAGTGTTAGATTTTCGACAGTCCTTCTCATGAGCCTAATGCAGGCCACAGCTGGTTTCCTGTAGCCTGTTACCATAACCTAGCCTACCGCTTCCCCTTCCTGCATTCTGTATGTGTTCTTTATGTTTCTCCACCAACATAGTCAAACTGATCTTTACAAAACACAAGCCTGACAACGCGGTCTCCTGGGCAGTCTGATGATGGGATCAAAATTACATCTTGTGAAACTTGGGACCCTGCTTGGTGCTATAGTGCTTGCTTTGCTATTTCCTTTTCTGGAGGAAGCCATAACTCCTTAAAAGAAAAGCTCCCTCGACTTGCTCCCTTTCCACGCTGCCCCTCGGCATGCCTTGCTTCACTGCACCAACCACTTTTTGGTCCCTAACACTGGCTCTGCTTCCTCCTGTAAGGGGGCTTTTGCAAATGCTGTTCCCTCTGCCTAGGATGCTCTCCCCCTCCTTCTGTTTGTTTAACACCTATTCATCTTGAGATCGACTCAAGTGTTTTTTCCCAGAACCACTTCTCCAAACACCCCTGGCCAGGTCCCTTCTTGGCTAAGATCTCATAGAGCTCATTTTGTTTCTACAGCATCCATCATGGGTACCATTTTGTGGATATGCTATTGCGTTCATATGAGTCTTCTCTACCAAACAGAAAACTCCGGGAAAAGACTTGTCTGCTTGCTCTGCTTGCCATGTTCTTTCTGGACCAGACAAATGTGCAGTAAGTACCTTGTAGATAGTTGCTGTGTGAAAAGGGAGATGTCAGGTTTAAAGGAAACTCCATTTCCCCAAATATCAAAAGGCAGAAGGAACAAATGCTATCTCTGTCGCCTATCAGTATGCCAAGGCTCATGCTGGCCTCAGGCCCCTTAGTATCACAAGTGTTATCCATTTTCTCATGCATAACTTTGTATTGTACCCTCCCTGACTTCCTCCACCCCCTCTCATCTCTCTCTCCTCTCCTCTCTGTTCTCTAGTCTCTTCTCTCTTCCTCCTTCCCTCCCTCCCTTCTTTCCTCCCTTCCTTTCTTACCTCTTCCCTTCCTTTCTCCTCTACCTCCCTGCATCTCCCATGGCCAGGTCTAGTTTGCTGGCCATGTTTGGTCCACTACTCTCTCCTCACCTGCTCTGAACTCTTCTAGATGCCTCTGGCTGTTCTTTCTCTCATATCTACAATAAAAGCTTTCCCCTTAACAACATCCTGGAGGAGTTGCATTGTCAGTTTATAGAAGAGGTGAGATGATTTTTCATATGGCTATAGGCTATATCCAAAACATACATATTTTATTCCAAAGAATCATGGTACCATGTAATTTAAGTCTTACCTGGCACCGGATGGCACTTAAGGTAACAATTTTCCTTATTAACTGATTTGTTTCTAGATAGACCTCAGGAGTCGGAGCTCCGTGAGCTGTGACAGGATGCTTCTCAGAGCTGGTCTTGGGAGTACCAGTGCATACAGGTGGCTCATTAACTGTCACACCAGGGTCTAGGAACATACTGTCCTCAGATCCTGGAAACCTGCTTTTCAACACAGGATGTTTGCACCGCCTCAGGAGTTGGGGGAGAAGAGGGCCAGGAGAGAGTGAAGAGTCAGAGGAGGGGGTAGGACTCCTCCCAAGGGCTTCAGGTAGCTCAGCTGAACTGTTTTAGATGCTGGGTGTCTCTTCTACTTGGGAAGCTACAAAAGAACCCTCCACATGCAAGGCTTTTTCTCTGTGAGGAGGAGGACTATAGAAATAACCTAAACCCTTGTTAACTAGGTGATACCATCCCTATCTAAGCAGGACAGCCAAAAGTCTCTACTGCTCTGAGCCGGTGTCTTGGGCTGTTCTTATCTGATGGGTCAGACGTTGATAAATATTTGAACTTGATCCGATTTCCAACCTTAAATATAACAAATGACCCACATGTCCCCTGACTGGTGCAAACCAGCTCAATCGTGCAGCTTCCTCCTTTACCTCAGAGAATTATTCATGGACTGACTTGAGTTTCATTCAAGTCGTGCCCAGAAAAGATGCTAAAGAGTACAGGTGGGTTTGTTAATTTCTTTTGTTCATCTCCCAAGTAAAAAGCTCGAGATGATCAATCAATCAATCAATAAAGCAACCTTTCTCCTGAGTTCTATTGCATCTAGCATTTTGAACCCAAGTCACTAAGTTTAAGTCTAAGTGGACATTGCATCACTTAGAGGAGGTAGACAGATGAGTCCCAAGCTCTTCAGACCAGGGGAGCCAAACCATCCCTACAGATGTTAACCAGAAGGAAGTTCAGGTCTTGGGATATGTTCTCACAAATACTGCTAGCATGGTTGGCAAATGTCTTCCCGACTTACAGTATTTGTACTTAGAACTAAGAACATTTATATGGGGCTGGAGAGATGACTCAGCAGTTAAGAACACTGGCTGCTCTTCCAAAGGACCAGAGTTCTATTCCCAACAACCGCATGTGGCTCACAACCATCTATAGTGGGATCTGAGGCCCTCTTCTGGCATAAAATTGTACAAGCAGATAGAGCATTTATATGTAAAATAAATCTTTTTTTTTTTTTAATTACAAATGTGCCAGGTGCTGGTGTCACAGGCCTTTAATCCCAGCACTCGAGGGCAGAGGCAGGTGGATCTCTGTGAGTTTGTGACCAGTCTGTTCCCCAGAGCAAGTTCCAGGACAGCCAGAACTGTTTGACAGAGAAACCCTGTGTTTTTACACTGACTATAAATAAGAGGGACAGGATCTGTGAAGTGAGAAAGCGTTGGGATAAAGAGAGAAATGATTGTTGTTTCTGAGTGTGTGGGGGTTAATAGATTGAAAGGTTTCTGTGTAAGCAGGGTGCTGGAGCTTTGAAACTCTGACCCAGATTTCCAGGGTTATCAAACAGGTTATAAACACAAGTGCCGAGTGTAGGCCTGAGGATTCCATCAGGATGACAGTATGGGTCTCAGCGGAGCACAGGACCTGGCCAAGCACCCAGAGGTTGTTGAAAGGAAGAAAGGAAATGGCAAGCGAAACTCACTTTCCCACCACGGGGTGAAGCGGGGTGTCATGCTCCAGGCAGAGTAGCTCCCAGCCCGGGCTGTCATCACCCTCCCGTAGTACGGCTCATACAGGTCTAATGTTTCATTGGTCAGGTCACAGAAGAGCGCTGTGGTCCCCCAGCAGTCCGTTTTATTCTTCCATTGTCTCTGCCCATACCTACAGAAGGGAAATCACAAACGTGAGTTTCTTCTCTCCCTCCTGAGGATGCCAGTTTTTTTTTTTCTAGTGTGTTGCTCTTCCTACAGATTGAAATCTTAGGCTATCTTCAAGAATCTATGAAAGTCCTTTCATGTCAGCCAGGGCATTTGGCTTGTTGAATGCTAAATTGAGCTTTGAAGCCTTCTGTGTCACTAACACAAGGGCTTATTTCCTTTGGTGTGCAGCGGTGTGCTTCTTCTGGTATGTGGACCGGCTTCCGTTTCCAGTACTCCGTTCACATTCTTCCCACTTCCGAAGCCTCAACCACTGCCCCATGCCTTCTCCGGCGATGCTCACCGAATGAACACACATAGCCCAGCTCTTGACTATTGAGTGGAAGTTGCTCTGAGGGTTCCTTAGGGAGCTCTGGCACTAAGGACCTGGGAGAAAGAACGCTGCAAACACAGGGTAAAGCAAAAGGCCAACCTGAGCCCATGGGGCAGCGTGACAACCAAACCTTCCTGCTGCTCACAAGGAGAGAGGAAGACCACGGAGTGTGGCAAGCAGGAGGCTGAGGAGGAAGGGCTCTGGTTGAAGGACTGACTTTGTCCTTCCATGTAGTGAGCAATATTGCTGCTCCCTATCCTCTACGCTCCACGTAATTCCAGAAGTTTCATGGTGTCAGGATGAAGACAGAAACAGCAACACAAACACGGCGCAAATGGATGAGCTTGGATCATCGTTTAGTGACGACCGATTGGCATTGTCACAGGAGCGCATCTGCTGTGACTGAGTTTTCCTGTTTCCTTTACCATAAGATTTTGTGTGTGTTCTATTCAAAATAGTTCAGGTGTGAACTAACTATAAGCCATGCAAACAAATGAAAGTTCTCAAAATTAGACATGTGTCTTGTGCTGTTGAAAATACGATAGGGACAGGAATCACCCCTCCGAGGTCTGAATTTTATGTAAACTTAAAGAATTACAGATTCGCCGGGCGGTGGTGGCGCACGCCTTTAATCCCAGCACTTGGGAGGCAGAGGCAGGAGGATCTCTGTGAGTTCGAGGCCAGCCTGGTCTACAAAGGGAGTTCCAGGACAGGCTCCAAAGCTACAGAGAAACCCTGTCTCGAAAAACCAAAAAAAAAAAAAAAAAAAAAAAAAAAGAATTACAGATTCAAGTTTCGTGGGGCCTCAGGTTGAATCTTAGCTTCATGGTGGAACAGTTTCAAATCCTCTTATTTCTTTGGCTACATTCAGGCTCATTTTGGACCTGTTTGTACTGTGTGCAGGGGACATGTGGATAGAGCACCGGTCCCTATTTCCCACCGCCGCAACCACGGCCGCAAACTTCTCTAGCTGGGTCCAAACATTGTTTGGAAACAGAGAAGCTTTTACTGAAAATATTGCTTCATTTTACGGAGGGAAATTAAAAAAAACCTGGGATATTGTTTTTTAAAATTAATTCAAAGGAAAATCTGAGCAAGGAGCTCTCCTCCCAGCCCACTCCAACTAAAGGGACATGGATGGATTTATGGATTAAGAGGCATTATTCTGGCTCGTATCTACACCTGATTTCCTGGACTTTTTACTGCAGACCACGAAAGCTAAGCTGCAATTGCTCCTGCCTTTTATTTAGCCAAGTTTCCAAACTATTTAGGAGGAGGAGAAGAATCTCAAAACCCCTATGGAATGTGTAGGTTGGATATTTGTCACCCTCCAATCAGGAGCAACTATTTCTCAGCCTTGACAAAGGAAAGGAGTTGATTACATCTGAGTTTTGGCATTGAACCGGCAAAGCAAGCACGAAGATCCGACAAGAGGAACATGCTGCTGCGTGTCCTAGTGTGTGTGCACGCTCACAGAAATCATTAATACTTACAAAGAATCTGGTAGACCGTAAACCTACCCCAAGACAAATTTACCAATTAATAATATCTTTTACATACTCCCATGTCTGCCTCAAGCTCAACCACCAGTAGCTTTGTCTTAATTGAGTGTTTGCTCTGGGCCGAGCGAGTGGCTGCCAACATCCATTTGACAACTTGAAGAGCCATCATGTGCTGGAAATGCCTGATGCCTAAGGACTCCTATCCCGAGCTCCCTGGAGCTGACTTACCTGTCTTAAAGACTGCGCACATTATCGTACCTTTGTGTCCCTGGACAACCTTCTGTCCCTACCTCTGCTTCTTCTAAACCTTCCTGCCTGGAACTCCTCAAAAAGCCAAATAAAGCAAAATCCAAAGGTGTTCAGATCCTCACACTCCATTGCAATCTAAAGCGTATCCCCTGGTATCCCCTGCCAACTGAATCTACTTACATTTTGTATTGCACAAAGTAGATGCTGCCATTGCCAGTGAGGAAGCTCCCTGGCTGCCATCTCAAAATGTTGTGGAAATTTCTGGACTGAAACTGGACGTTCCGAGGCTTCAGAGATCCATAGGCCGGCTGAGTTTCTAAAGTGGCAAGAAGGACAGCAGTGGGCATGGCTATGAGAACTGCTGCTCTGAGAGGCAGAAGGTTTGCATGAAATCTCTGCATCAGGAGGCCCCATGGAGTCACTCGAAGGGAAGGCAGTGATGGCAGGGTCAAAAATCAATATTTTTGACTCCTCAGTATAATGGTGAGAAGCCCCTCCCTTCTCCAGTTCTAGTGCATGAACTCAGGGCAAGTTCTCTGCCCCTGCGCTACACCTTTAGTCTAAGGTAAAATTGCAGAATGATGACTTTTGTACTAGAAAAAAAGTTAATGATATCACCACCACCACCACCCTTCAGCACTCCTCAACGGGTAAAGAAACTAAAACTCATGAAAAGAATAGAGAACATAATCTCTAGTTTATGCCCAATTAGCAATGGGATGTAATGACTGTGAAAAAACAAACAAAAACCCATTGCCTGTCTACTTGCTGTAAGTACCTACGTAGAGTTGTTCAGGTCCACTGGCCCACACTCAAGACCGTGGACTCTGGTGAGGGTGTGAAGTCATAGGCAGGAGAGGGCAAGACTTTGCTTGACAGGATTCTTGCATTTCCTTCTTCAAATCACATGATATGGGTGACCTAGCTTTACCTGCATTTAATCTTACAGAGGCTGGGGATCAATAACAAAATGTATTTCAGGGTTCAAAGTTTCCGACAAAGGAGAAAGGCTGGTTTCCTTGGATATTTCTTCTTACCCACTGAATGCTGTTATGGTGTTGACATTACCAATATTTTTGTATGTTTTGAAGGTCTCCTGCAATGCATGAATGTTGGTATGGACTTGGAAGATGTCTATTCCCATGCCTTATTTTGTGCTCCCAGATCACTACCTGCCTAATCCTAGTTAGTACATAAAAATTAGTAGCAGATGACAGGCACAATTTCTTGAAGACCCACCCAGAGTTGACTTGCTAACCTGAAGATGGCTGGCTCCTTGCTCTGTCTCTTATGTCTTTGGACTCACCTTGGATTCTTCTAACAACTTCACTGTCCTTGCTGTTCTCAGTGACAGCTCACAGTGCACAAAGCACCGAGGGGCTTTTTCATCATCTGCTCATTGAACTTGGCCCAACTCCTCCTTGATAAAGATACCGTCTGAGTCTTCCTCGTCTGGTCTAGAGACCCAGTCTTGGAGAAGTGAAGGGATCTGCCCAGGCTCAGGCGTTAAAGCTGATTTTGTACCCAGGCTGACTCTATAGCCTGCTTCTTACTACTGAAAACTGAAAATAAAGTTCCGGGCAAGTGGCAGAGGCAGAGTAATGCAACATTTATAAGCCTTTGCCTCCTTCAATTCCTTCCTTCTTGACTCCTATTAGTGAACACATAGAAGTATCCATCAGAAGCTGTGCTCATTCTTTTCAAAGTATCCACGGACAACTGCATAAGAGATACTATTACTGCTGCCTTAGCAGGTGTGGATACAGGCTCAGCAAAGTTACACGTCATGCCATGCCCCGGGTTACAGGTGCGGTACAGTAGGGAAGCAGGGTCATTTTACCAGCCCCTGAATTCCTGCTAAGTGCATCCTTGCTACCAAGGACAAGAGGAATAGCCTACTCTAGTTCCCTTATTTCTGTCAGATAGGACTGGGGTCGCTTGAAAGCAGAGTCATAGAACAACTGCATAATTGTGGACGCTTACCTAAGCCACTTAAGTGAGCGTCCACATCTACCGACTCGGGACTCCAGGGGCCTTTCTGAGAGGTTTGTCTTGATAAAACACTCTTGAAGAATTCTCTGTAGGCACCATTTGTTTGTGGCCTCTGTTCTGTGGGGGTGGCTGCTTTAAATACTCAGTCAGCCTTTACACTAACTCTAAGGCTCCCCAGTAACCTATGAATCTTCATTCCACAGACAAGAAAAGTCTCGGATAGGGTGTTAGGTAAAATACCTGTTTTTCTAGGTAACAAATGGCAGGTGAAATCTAGGTTCTGTCTATGTGGTTTAGGGTCTTGGGTCTTGTGCTCTTAATCACTTGATATTAGGAGGGAGGGAAGGGGGGAGAGAGAGAGAGAGAGAGAGAGAGAGAGAGAGAGAGAGAGAGGCAAGAGATAAAGAGATACACACACACACACACACAGAGAGAGAGAGAGAGAGAGAGAGAGAGGGAGAGAGAGAGAGAGAGAGAGAGAGGTTGACCATGATCTGTTTTCTACCATGAAAGTGGTCCCTCTGCCATGAACTCAGGTACCCACTATTCGTTCAGGATGCAGAGAGCAACGGACCCTATGTCTCCTGGGACCATTTAGTGACCTTACAGAGTCCAGAAAACCATTCAAGCCATTCCTAAACTTGTCTTGATCAGACTCAAAACCAGCCAGTTAAAAGAAAGTAGTAAAGTACTTACCTATTCCAACGGTCAGGAGGGACTTGATGAGGAAGCCTAGAAAGTAAAGCTTCAGCATCATGGTTGCAAGTGTGCCTGTCTGGAGACCAGTGTTCCTTTCAGTGAGGAGACAGCTGAGAAGAGGGAACTGTAAAAATCCACACATGGACCGTCACTTCCGTGGGCTCAACCAATGGCAAATGTTTCCTTAAAAGAAATTTATTTTGTTACATTATTTTTCTTACACTAAAAATTAGGAATCTCTTAACACGTATTTACATATATAAGTATACAAACACATATGTATATGTTCTGACTATGTGACTTAGGGTTTTGTGTCTTGTGCCTATAATCGCTTGATGACATTGAGAGAGAGAGAAAGAGAGAGAGAGATTGAATCTCTGAACTGTTCATATATACACACACAGCTGAATGTTTATCTGGCAGTTTGATAGCAAATCCTGAGGACAGGGTGGGACAGGAATTATACAAGGTGAGTTGAATGAATCTTGAGGGAATTTGGCTCTAAGAGGCCGGATGTGTTTGGGGGACCAGGAGGACTTCAGAATAATGTGCTTGGCAATTGTAGCAGCCTCAGTCCCTGGCAGCTGTTCAAAGGGTTGTAGGCAGTGCTTTTTGGATAGCTTCTCTCTCCCTGATATTTATGCCTAAGGCCCCTTGGCACTCCTAACTCTCCTGAGAGCTCCCTGCTATACTGTTAACTTTTTCTTCTCCAAGGTGGCCTTGAACCACTAGATGCCCCTCCTTTCCCAGTTCCACCCCACAGTTTCCAGCAATTAATCTCAAGGAAGATCTTCAAAGTTGCCATAGTAAACGATGACCGAAGAGGGTAACTGTGGAGGGCCATCAGTCTGAGCTGCATCAAATCTGGTTCACAGCTCCGTGAAGTCAGATTGAACCAACTCATGGGCTCTTTGTCAGAGCTCCATTACATTGCTTTACCAACAAATTCCCCCTGTGCTTTTGGAGGCACTAGACATTATGCATATAAGCACAGCGAAGTCGTGGGGATTTTGTTTCTTTGTTTGTTTTGCTTTTTTATGCTTCGAAGAGGCTCTTGAGGTCAAAAGAGGAAACGCACTCTGGCTTCTTTTTCATTGTATATGGATGAAAAAAAGAAAGAAATGAGAAGGAAGGAACATGGCTGCTCCTAGCAATGGTGGAAGAAAAATTTAATTATAGACATGTGGGCGAGCCGAGTCAGAGGCAGGGACATCAGGGAGAGCCCAGAGTGGACCTGACCCTGAGCCATGTGAGGAGAGGGGAGGGAAAGAAGAGGGGAGAGATGCGAACCAGGTTCAGCAGCCAGGACGCCTAAAGTCACAAAGAGAGAGGGTACCAAAATGGTTGGATTATATGGCAAGGGCAGCCCAGCCTTCGGGGATGGAGAGTTCAGGTAGTGGTGGGGTGTGCCAGCCAGGAGGGCCCTGCAACAGGCTTGGACTGAGGAATGACAGGGAGAAGCAGGCAGCCAGGTCCACACTGATGTGTTACATAGGCACGCCAGCCATTTGTCCTGGGTTTGAAACCTAACTGCTTTTGTTGATAATAAGTAAATAAAGAGCAAAGTGCTCTTCTCTATGAGTATTTCCCGCTGACATTGGGGCATTGATGCTGGGGTGGGTAGGGGTGGGGCAGAAAAGCCAGAAGGCTGGCCAAGAGAAGGCTCTTTCACTCTGTGTCCACGCTTTGTGGGATATCCTGCTAGGGACATGCAGGCAGGATTTTGGAGCACTTTGTGGGACTGGACCATCTGGGGAGAGCAAGTTGTTGGAGAATTCTGTAGCTGGTTTAAAATCGGCTGGGTCAGATAGACTAAAGAAAGAGGAAAAGTTAAGGAGTTTAGGGAATTTTTTTTTTTTAACCAGGGTGTACATTCGAAACTTTTAGACCCATAGAGCCATAGTTCTGGTAGTTTGGGGAGGCAAGTCTCGAGATCAGGGAAATGGGGAAAAGCCCACCCTCAGGAATAGGCAGTAGGCAGGAAAACTTAGGCTGCTGATTGACAGGAGTTATGTGAAATCTATCTGACATTGAAAGATGGATCCAAGTAGATTCCCTGAAGCTTACAAGAACTGCTTTGTTAAGTTTACAAATAGAGACAAAAGTTTTAGATAGGTTAGCATTACCACTGTTTATAATCTGCATTAAAATCCACATTGTAGAAAGGGCAGTAGACTTTTGAACTGTAGTACAAGCTTAGGGACACAAAAATTATTTGGGGTTAAAAATATGAATACTCTTCCCTCTCTCCAGACGGTGTATACAGGCTGAACAGACGTTTTTTAGCATGAGAAGCACTTATTCGAAGAAGACAACCAAAGGAAATTTAAAATCTTGAGCTTGTGACTATAATAGTGTTTGCCAGAGCTAGATTAAGAGCTTGTCAGATTTCTGTTGACTAATGTCAAAACTCTGAACTTTTGAAGTCTTAGCTTAACAATAGCATAGCGATGGAAACATTGTTTTTCATTTTTATATACTTTGAATCACTTTTTTACACTTTTATAACGTGCATAGACTTTAAACGTTTTTAGTCCAGTTATTTACCGTGAGACATGGGTGGTTGGTAACTGAGAGCCCGCACTGTAAAGCAAGTTCCTTTAAATAAAGGAACAATAAAAAGTCACTTGGAAACCTGTTTTGTGAGTTTAATCTCTTTTCAGAGTCTGGTAGCAAGATAAACTGTTTGTCTTTCTCAGCTGGGGGCCTAGAAGCTCCAGGTGATTAAGGCTTGATTTTTCTATGTCAGGAGAACTGAGGAGGTAGCTGAAACCTGGAGGGGGGGGGTGGAGTTGGGTACTTGCAGACATTAAATTGACAAAGATACAACAGTTAGTCAATGTCATCAGAGATCCGAGAGGATAAATTATAGCCGGAAGTATAATCTCAATGGTCTATGTATCAACTAAAACAATCGCGATCCAATACCTAGACAGGTTATCCTAGGCTTCCAGGGTTCTTTGGGGGGCAGAAGTAGTTGAGCTTTGTAATATGTTTTCTGCCTCCCCAACAAATAAGTTTCTCCCCTGATGCAGTAAGATCAAGGTGAATTGAAAAAGTAGAATAACAGGCGTCTGGTCCATATTGGGTCATGGTCTGAGCGGATGAGGACGGCTGACCAGGTCTCTTCCTCTTAGTGTGGTAGCCTTGAGCCGACCAGCTGGACCTCTTTCCAACCACATACTAAATTCCCCGGGTTTCTAGAGGACATAACTGGTCGTTTCCAGTCTCGTTATCAAGGAGCCAGCTACCACATAAAGGAAGACTGCGGAGAGGAACAACTGGAGAACCGCCATAAACGGGCTGCCCACACATGCTTAAGAAGCATTGCTGAGGTAGAAACGATGATGATGATGATGATGATGATGATGATGATGCTGTTTGAACAGAGCAACTCCCAGGCAAATTCTCCAATCCCAGAGATCAAGGCCAGAGAAGTTGCACCCCATGTATTGGAGGCGAGGGGTGATGGCATGCCTCCCACAAGCTGGGTTTGTGCCCAAGTGTGGTCGAAAATGGAGCACTAAGGTAGGGACTTGGTCAGCTGGAAACTTCGGGGGAGGGAGCTGCAGTAGCCATCAGGAATTGGACTTTTGGGGGCTTTTCTTCTGTTCAGAGACTCTCTGAACAGGAAGTATTTGGAGAGAGAGAGAGAGAGAGAAGAGAGAGAAGGACTTTTTGGATCATGCAGGGGCTAGCTGGAGGTACTAACGCAACACTCTGGATGTCATACAGGGTAGCAGAGGCCTTTGGTTGTCCAGACCCAGGTCTCAGAAATTTTTCCTGTAAAGGAACTTGGGAATGCTGAACTTACTTTTACTGGACAAAATAGGGCAGACAATAAAAAAATTGTCCAGTTTGTGGAGCATGCTGGTGGCAGGCAGGGCATGAGGCGGTTTCAGGCAGGGTTAGCCTCACCACAATCCAGGTGGAATCATCGTGTCCCATATGTCTTCCTTGGAGACCGTAAGGGTTCCCGCTAGGAGGGGGCAGTAACGCCTTTTGTGGGAAGCTTAAACATTAAAAATGCATGTTCAACAGATCTCTTAAGAGTTTGAGGACCATCTATCTATTAAGCATATCTTTTTTTTTTAACTTGGAAAACACATAAGAGGCCAAATAAAGATTGTCATTAAGTGAACAGTTGACAAGTTAGTAGATTGACAAAATCGCCAAAGACAAAGGAACTAGACAAATATGATTGTGAACCTAAGTAGACCTTAGGAATTTATAAACCTTATTTATCAAATATACTTTATTTATTAAACATATGTGGTTACATATCTAAATTTTTTAGCAGCATGGCGTTGAACAGTTAGCAAAGACATAAGTAGTTAGAAATACAGTATAAATCAGCTCTTGTTAGTCTGACCTTTATAACCTTAAAATTTTGTCACCATGCAAAAATCCAGACCAATCCAAAATATTTTAGAGACCTGTTGTTGCTTCCTTAGTCTAAAAGGGGACCCAATGAGAAACTAAGGGCTCGGTAGGACTGAGAAGTTCTATCATCGTTGTTTTAAACCGTGCGGTCATCTTAAGATGGTGGAGTCATAGTGCAAGTATCCTTTAACCTTAGTAAAGATGGCTGCCGGTTATGTGGCTGCTTCCATCTTGATGATTCATCAACCAATATTGAGGAGAGCCACAGGGCCGCTATTTAAAAACACCAGTTTTCCTATATAAGAGTCAAATCTAAGTTACCTATATAATAGATTCTAAACCAGAGTTGAATCACATGTGTCGTATGTTGTGGCAAATTAGAATTCCGATGTATAGTGTTTAATTATAAGCCTTTTGTTATAAGCTTTAAGGAAATTTTTTGTGGCAGATTTTACATATTTTAAACCATACCAATGAATTTATAAATCCTGAGACAGAGTTTATATCATAGTCTTAAGAGTTTTCTTTTTCCTTAGCAGAGCACAGAAAAATCATAGAGATAATATTTTTAAGAATGAGAAGATGTGGAACCTTAGAGATAAGAGACTTTGGGGTCGTTTACTTTTGTGGTAACAGAAGTTGTTACAATCTGTGAGAATTTGAAAATCAACTGTG